CGTAATAACACTGGCAAATAACACTACAACTTAGTAAGTTGTTTTATTAACTAAAGAGATCGAAACTAAAAAGATTTTATTTATTACAATATTTGAACAACTAAGGGACAATTATAGTTGAACAATTTAAAGAATTATATATTAAAATAGCAAGCAAGTTGTGAAATATATCTTATAAATTGTCATTATCAATTGTAGTATTAAAAAATAGGCAAGAGCTCAGTAGTTACATGAGTTTTATCAATTCTCCCTGTACTAACTCTTATTTAAGTCTCATCTAAGAGAGAGAGAGAGAGAGAGAGAGAGGAAGTGTTTCAAAAGCAGCATGTTAAAAAAAGTAAAAAAGACATGCAATAAATAATAGTAACTGGTTTTATTATGCTACCAATATACAAAATTATTTTTACCTTAACTAAACTTAATTTCCAGCATTTCTTAATTAAGTTCCAGCTTAATTTTAACTCTTAATTTTAACTCCTAATTTCAACTCAAGTTCTCTCTAACTGTTGACTAATGATTAATATAGTAAATTTCACATCATATTAAATTTACAAAATTAAAACCATGTTTTAACAGTATGCAAAATAATCAATTGATGACAAAGGCAACTAAAAAAAAAAAAAAAAAAATCATTTAAATTTGAAACTGTTGTTAAATGTTACTATAAATAGTAAATTTCTTACTTTGCTTTGTTCTAAAGTGTCTAATGTAAAATCAAATTAATAGACATTAACACCGCTTGACACTGAATTCTGGCAAGTAAGTTTTCTGTTCATCAAGCAGAATTTCTTACATTTCAACGATAATTAATTTCATCACACCTAGATCTATCTCTTTCATTTGACAACAATTTTTTTCAAGTAGCCTTTTACCATTTACACTAATAACTTCTTCGAGCCTAATATTATACATCTGTTATCATTAAACATATTACCAGTGATTATACTACTGTTACAACTGAATAAATGAACCTAAAATAATTTTACGAATTGTGATCTTTTCTAATCACTATATTTTAAATCAAGATTTATTGATATCCATGTATTTTTATAAGTTTACATATATAAGTCGTTTATTAAAAATATAAAACAAAATTTATTTACATTATTTTTAATTTAACAAAGAATTTAGACTACAATGCACAAAGTTATTTTTACCTTCAGGCACAATCTTAATGCACAAAAATAATAATTGCAGAATCTTGTATAAAAAATGAAGCAACTACAGTAAGTTTTCCACGTTAAATACATAAAATATATATCTAATATAAAATAAATCCAATATAAAATAAAACAAAATATTAAATTTACTCAAATCAGTAACAGTTCCACTGTCTGAAAATTTTTAATAATAATTAACCCTTCTATTTAAAAAAAAAACAACAAACAATTAATTTGAAGTGATTTCCAATTGCACTAAAAAAAAACAAAACACATCTTGCTTCACTAAGTTACCTAGTTCTTAAGAATCTGAAAACAAATAAGTAAAAAACCAAGAACAAAAAAACTTTTATTTATTAAAACTACTATTAAACAAATTAAATCAAACAGAAAACAACATCAATTCTTCTTGAAAGCTGAAAAACTTTTCAGCTCAAATTTGCTTGCAGACCTTGCTTGTAAAACCACTTGAATAAAAAAAACATTTAGAAATGCCTAGAAACTTCTTAAAAATGGTATATGCAACATTGAACTTTAAATGTTGACTGGACTAATTATTAGTAGATATTTTTATAAAATTCATAAAAATTTACAATGATTTGTTTTTCTATACCACATAAATACATCATATGATAAATCTGAAGTTAAAAAATGTAACAAATAAGTAAATACAAAGAAAAACATCATATATAAATTAAAAATCAATTCACCTGATAGAGATAAGCTGTTGTAATACCAGAGTAGTAGTTGTTAAATATTGTTATTTCAAGCTTTAAGAAAATGTTGCTACATCATGTTTCTAAAAAATCAAATCGAGATATAAACAAATCAAAAAAATCAAGTTGAGATAAAAACAAAATCTATTTATGGTGAAATGATGTTTTGAATGACTTTTAGTAAATAAATGAAAGCAGTTCTAGTAATTAAACAACCTATTAATCATTTTTAACAACGGACACCAACATAAAGATAAGCCAAGGGTAACAATATTACGCAAAAAGTTATGAAAAGATAATTTTATGTATTTTCAGAATAGTCATATTGAAGGTTAGACAACACCTAGACCTAAATCAGTAACACCCCTTGACGGGTAAGGTTGACAAAACCGTACCAGTCAAGCAGTGACAAAACCTTACTAGTCAACCTTGCTCTACGCGTTTGCCAAGTCACACCACTTTGAAATCATGGAAACAACGTTATATAAACATATATACTAACTATAAAACACAATATATTTTTTTAATGTTATATAAAATATAAAAACACCTCATTTAACAATCATATACTCATTAGATAAAATACATTTCATACTATTATAAAAACACATTTATAAACAAACT